GATTGCTATATACTTTCCTCTTAAGACTGCTTTCGCTGCATCCCACAGAAGTTGGGGCTTAGTGTTGTTGTTGTCATTTGTTTCTATATATTCCTTGATCTCTATTTTGATTTGTTCATTGATCCATTGATTATTTAGTAGCATGTTGTTAAGCCTCCATGTGTTTGTGAGCCTTTTTGTTTTCTTTGTAGAATTTATTTCTACTTTCATACCTTTGTGGTCTGAAAAATTGGTTGGTAGAATTTCAATATTTTGGAATTTACTGAGGCTCTTTTTGTGAGCTAGTATGTGGTCTATTCTGGAGAATGTTCCATGTGCACTTGAGAAGAATGTATATCCTGTTGCTTTTGGATGTAGAGTTCTATAGATGTCTATTAGGTCCATCTGTTCTAGTGTGTTGTTCAGTGCCTGTGTGTCTTTACTTATTTTCTGCCCGGTGGATCTATCCTTTGGGGTGAGTGGTGTGTTGAAGTCTCCTACAATGAATGCATTGCAGTCTATTTCCCTCTTTAGTTCTGTTAGTATTTGCTTCACATATGCTGGTGCTCCTGTATTGGGTGCATATATATTTAGAATGGTTATATCCTCTTGTTGGACTGAGCCCTTTATCATTATGTAGTGGCCTTCTTTATCTCTTGTTACTTTCTTTGTTTTGAAGTCTATTTTGTCTGATATTAGTACTGCAACCCCTGCTTTCTTCTCACTGTTGTTTGCCTGAAATATGTTTTTCCATCCCTTGACTTTTAGTCTATGCTTATCTTTGGGTTTAAGGTGAGTTTCTTGTAAGCAGCATATAGATGGGTCTTGCTTTTTTATCCATTCTATTACTCTGTGTCTTTTGATTGGTGCATTCAGTCCATTTACATTTAGGGTGATTATTGAAAGATGTACTTATTGCCATTGCAGGCTTTAGATTCGTGATTACCAAAGGTTCAAGGGTAGCATCTTTACTATCTAACCGTCTAACTTAACTCACTTATTAAGCTATTATAAACACAGTCTGATGATTATTTCTCTCCCTTCTTATTCCTCCTCCTCCATTCTTTATATGTTGGTTGTTTTATTCTGTGCTCTTTTGTGTTTCCTTTAACTGCTTTTGTGGGTAGTTGATTTTATTTTTTGCCTGTAGTTAGTATTTGATTGGTCTGCTTTCTTTGCTATGATTTTATTTTCTCTGGTGACATCTATTTAGCCTTAGGAGTGCTCCCATCTAGAGCATTCCCTCTAAAATACCCTGTAGAGGTGTTTTGTGGGAGGCAAATTCCCTCAACTTTTGCTTGTCTGGGAATTGTTTAATCCCTCCTTCATAGTAAATGATAATCATGCTGGATACATTATTCTTGGTTCAAGGCCCTTCTGTTTCATTGCATTAAATATATCATGCCATTCTCTTCAGGCCTGTAAGGTTTCTGTTGAGAAGTCTGATGATAGCCTGATGGGTTTTCCTTTATAGGTGAACTTTTTCCTCTCCCTAGCTGCCTTTAAAACTCTGTCCTTGTCCTTGATCTTTGCCATTTTAATTATTATGTGTCTTGGTGTTGTCTTCCTTGGGTCCCTTCTGTTGGGAGTTCTGTGTACTTCTGTGGTCTGATTGATTATTTCCTCCCCCAGTTTGGGGAAGTTTTCAGCCATTATTTCTTCAAAGACACTTTCTACCCCTTTTTCTCTCTCTTCTTCTTCTGGTACCCCTATAATGTGGATATTGTTCCTTTTGGATTGGTCACACAGTTCTCTTAATATTATTTCATTTCTTGAGATCTTTTTATCTCTCTCTGCATCAGCTTCTATGCATTGCTGGTCTCTGGTTTGTATTCCATCAATAGCCTCTTGCATGTTATCCATTCTGCTTATAAATCCTTCCAGAGGTTGTTTCATTTCTGTTATTTCTCTCCGGACGTCATCCCATAGCTCTTGTATATTTCTCTGTAGCTCCATCAGCATGGTTATGATCTTTATTTTGAATTATTTTTCAGTAAGACTGGTTAGGTCTATCTCCTTCTCAGGGGTTGACTCTGTGATTTTGGTCTGTATCAAATTCTTTTGCCTTTTCATGGCAAGGGAGGTAGTTGTGCGGGGCTGGCACTGTGTGTCAGCTGGGAGAACATCCCTTCTTGCTGGTTTGTGGCCTTCCTCTCCTGGGAGAACAGTGACCTCTAGCAGTTTGTGCTTGGCAGCTGCATGCAGATGGGGCCTCTGATTCTTGCCTGGCCACAGTGGAGTTAAGCTCTGTGGTTGCTATGAGCGTGGCCTGCCTTGGTCTGCTGCTCCAATATGGTGGAGCCGCATCAGAGTGGAGACAAGTGGGAGGCTGTTTATCACTGTGAGTGGCCTCCAAGCGGCGCTGCCACCCAGGGATTTAGGGTGCCCGGTGTTCCCTCGGATTCCTAGCTGCTGGGCTAAGTGTCACGGGATACTTCCGTCCAGCTTTGGGGTCCCTGCCTGTTTAAGACTTTCAAAAAGCACTCACTTTTCTTTGTCCCGGGTGCGCCGGCTGTGGGGACCCACTCACAGGTCTTACTGTCCTGATTCCCTAGTATCCAGGACCCCACACATGCACTGTGTGTCTGTGCTCTGGTGCAGATGGCTAGGGCTGGCTATTTAGCAGTCCTGAGCTCCCTCTCGCTCCCTGCTCCAACTCCTCTCCTCCCACTGGGAGCTGGGGTCAGGGGCACTTGGGTCCTGCCAGGCTGCAGCTTGTATCTTTCCCCCTTCATGAGGCGCTGGGTTCTCGCAGGTGTGGAAGTAGTCTGGCTGTTGTCCTGTGTGTCTTCTGGTCTCTCTTTTAGGAATAGTTATATTTGTTATATTTTTAAAAATATATATGGTTTTGGGAGGAGATTTCCGCTGCTCTATTCAAGTCGCCATCTTGGTTCTGCCCCCTTTTGGCTTTAATTTTTACTGCTTTTTCCTCTTCTTGTAACTTGTTAGTGATACACTTGTCAGCTACACATTATTTTAGTGTTCTTTTGGTGGTAAACCTAGCAATTATAGTTCACAATGTTGACATATTAAGGTCTGGTAAAAGTTATTATTTTTCACCACTCTCCCAGTAGTGCTCGGACCTTAAAATATTTCTCATGTCTTTTGCATTGTTTTTGTCATGAAATTTTATTCTATGTAATTTTTAAACCCTACTATATATTGTTACTATTATTTTATAGAGTTAATATTGACTTACATGTATTCACTGAATTACTCTTTCTAGTGCTCTTTGAACCTTCTTGCATTCCTTGTTTTTGTCTGGCATCATTTTTCTTCTATTGGAAGAACTCCCTTTTGGGATTTTTTTTTTTTAGTGTTATCTTGCTGCCAATGAATTCTCCAAGTTTTTGTCTGTCTAAAAATACCTTTGTTTTCACCTTAATTGAAGGAAATTTTTCTTCTGCTATTGAAATTAAAATATGTGCTGCTACATCATGTAAATTTCACAGATGAATGCAAAATTTATTGATTTTCAAATAATTTACAATGTTTACATTGGATCTTAGTGTTCTAGTCAAGGATTTCTCTCCAAATTGCCCTTCATTCTAGCATTCTATAAGATAAATAGTCCAGAATATGGAAAGAAATTATCTTGAAACTGTAGTCAAGTCATTTAACTTCTCTGAGTCTGAGCCAGTTTCCTCATATATAAAATTGGAATAATATAATATTGTCTCTCTTTCACTGGAAGTTATGATTCTCTGTTGAGACATATATAAAAATGCTTTGTAATATATGAAATACCAATCGGTTGGAAATCTTAAGTGTTTTAATTATTTACTGGAACAGAAACAGTATATATATCCAGAATTCTCTTACAAATGTGCATTTTCATGAACACTCACAAAATAGCCAAGATGATAGTACTCATGTATGTGTTTATATATATGCTGCCTTTTATGAGAAAGTAAGACAGTGTTAAAATTAAACTGAACCTATGCTCAGTCAATCTTAAATTTAATTTATGATCTTCCAAGCACCTAAGTTGAAAAGGGAGACCTGGCCAATCACCTAATTCCAAATACCCATAGGATTAAAAATACTTCAGGGGAACAGTTCTTTCTTAATACTAAGTTGAGGCAGCAATTTCCCCCTTCATTTTTATAATGACATAGAGTTATTTAAGAGATTATTCTGCTGGTTGAGAGATTAACAGATTTGCATGATTAATCCAAATCAGTGGTAGACTGCTCTAGAATTTTAGTACTTTGTTTCATGTTCCCCCAGGGAGAATTATGCATTTTAGTGTGAGCTCCAAGTAACTGCCCTTCCATCCTACTTACAAATGGATTCTATTCCTAAAACTAATAAAGAATGTCAGTTTCCTTTATAAAATGCTTGGATACACAAAGATAAAATGTTATTTTCATACATAACATTAAGAAAATTGCCTTAAGAAAGGACAATGTTTAGCTACATTTTATTTTGCCTTCACAGGTTAATTCAAACATTCCTTACTACACTGATCAAGTATCTACCAAGTCCCTATCATGCAGGCATAATGCTTTTGGTTTGTTTGTTCTCCTCTGTGAAAAAGCAGTCATTTGACCTAGATGTTGCAGTTTCTTTTTTTATTTTTCTACTATTTATTTAGTAGACATTTATTTAAATGGAAAAGAAAGTTTGGAACTGAAGCTTTTGAATGAACACCTAAAATGTATGTTAGTTATTATTACTGTCTCACAGTAATACCCCGACACACTGGAGGTTTAGTGTGATGGTCAGATTACAGTAGGATAGCTGTTCTTACTTAAATTCTTGGACTTTGTTTTCAGGTCTTTGGCATGCATTTTATATGAGATGTGCTGCATGAATCATGCATTCACTGGATCCAATTTCTTGTCCATTGTTTTAAAAATTGTTGAAGGTGACACGCCTTCTCTCCCAGAGAGATACCCAAGAGAATTGAATGCCATAATGGAATGGTATGGAAATAAATACATTGCCACAGAAATTATTTTAAATCGTATTTCTATTTTAGTTCATTTGGAAAATAATCTTCTTTTTAAACATTACAGCATGTTGAACAAGAGTCCTTCATTGAGACCATCTGCTGTAGAGATTTTTAAAAGCCCTTACACTGATGAACAACTACAGGTATTTAAATTGACTGGGGTGCCAGGGAACACATTTTATCATTTATATATATTCTAGGATTTAATATGCTATAAGAATAAGAAGCAATAATAATCAGTCAGAAAGGAGAAATGAAGGAAAATAGTAGTCAGACAATCTCTTTGCAAAATGTATGTGAACTCCAGGTCCCTGGTGCCCCAGATGTAAGAAATTAGGATTTGTGTTTATCTACATAAATTCAACATCACCCTTAAGGCTCTTGCTTTACAAATCTTGCCTCAACATTTTGTAAAAATATCCCTGCTAGGACAAGAATGTACTACTACTAATACTAAAATCTTGGGTTTCCTTTGAGCTCTTATTATTCCACCACTTTGTGGTATACCTTAATAGTAACATTTTGTTGATTAGGTGAGCTTAGTTTTCCTGTAGAGTAGACATTTTGATGCAGAGAATCTGCCCCTGGTGGTAAGTAAAAAGCAAATGGTACCCTCTTGTGAAGGTTGTTTTTTTTTTTTTGATTTCTTAGGAGACATTTCAACACAGCAGGATATGAGAAGCAGCTGGCCAGGTAAAGAATCTGAGAGAGGGAGTTAAGTGGTGCAGGGAGTAAGTGGTGCAAAGTACTGAATGAGGTTATGCTTCATGAAAGGAGACATACAGAGCCAGGTTCTTACCCAAGAATGCGCTACCCAGGGAGGCTGCTGAGGAATCGGGGTGGCAGGACAGGAGAAGTGGATAGGAATTATCTGGCACTTCTAGCCTTCCCCAGTGTATCCCTCTCCCTATGTAGAGCCTCAGGAAAAGAGGCCAGGCACTGGCTTTCTGCATCAAAAGCACACAGAAAGGGCTGTGAGCACACCAGAAGTGTCAGAAGGGATTCAGGGGGTCTGCCAGGACTGTGGGGGAAGTGAGGCATTTGCCTTGGGGCAAAAATAAATTTTAAAGGCCACCGAAAATTCAGGAATCAGGATAAATAACATTTTAATGCGATGTTTAAAAATTCCAAATTAATGCTAAAAAAGATCCGTGATAACAAAATAATCAAATTCAAAGCCAGGATCCAAAAGGCTAGGATTAGGGTGAGGCAAGCGAGGTGGAATGGTACAAGTTCAGGGTTGGATCCCATCTTTATTTAAACTCCTGCTATTATATTCTCCACAGCTTTGGGGCATTAGTGTTGATATTTTGTAATATTGCATTAAAATATTATTTATCTTGGTTACTGGGTTTTTTGGTGCCCCCATTAAATTTTGCACCTGAGGTGAATGCCTCACTTGTCTCACCCTTGTCCTGGCCCTGGGAGTGGGGATACCATCTACTCCAGACCCAGAGGTTGAGGAGAGCCTGTGTGTTCTCAGAGCCGAGGGAGCCTGCCTGTGGCCAGTGGCAGGGAGGGCAAGAGTGGGTAGTGCAGCGCACTGGGCTGGAAGGTAGGCAGGAGCCCGGACTCACAGGGATCTGTGGCCTATGCCACTCAGTGATCCTTTGTGACCCTTTATAAAAGGAAGTAGTCTCCAGAGTGTCGCGACCCTTCAGGGACCGAAGCAACACGCCCAAGGTCTTGATTCTTCTCTAGGCTTTATTGTCTAATCTCTCATGGCGGTTACAGCAGTTGTCGGGCAGCTCTCCTCCCTCCCAGCGGGCTCCCTTATATTCAGTCACCCAACCAATCCGGGACAGTATCATGCATGACCTTTAAGCGGATAGGTGTCACGTGCCACTCTAAGTGGGCAGCACGAGCTGTGCACGGGTACGGAAGTCTGCTGGGCCAATCCCCAACAGGGAAGAGGGGAAAGGGTGGTGAGCAGGAAGCAGGCGCCATCTTTAGGGCGTTGTCCAGCTAGAGTGGGGCTCAGCCTCGGCTGTAGGCTGGGACCCCACACAGAGGGTTTTGTTTTCAGGTTCCTAGACATGGTCAGTAATACTACGAATCAGAAAAGGCATCTGCCAGTTTTTTTGCCCTTCATCCCTAAAGAGGAGTATTTAAGGTGTGTCTGGGCTGTCCTTTTTTTCAGCACCTGATGTACAGATATTCAGAAATCACTCTGAAAGACAAGAATTGGAATTGTCAGAAGGAGACTGCTCATATAATTAATGTCATGTAAGTAACTACTTTGTCTTTAAAAGCCTATTGAGTATAAATGTTAAATGCATTTGTTTAAAAAAAAAAATCTATTAGCCCCAAGCTGACTGCATAGAGTATCCTAGAATTCACTTATGTCTTGCCAGGAAATTACGGATCTTCAGTAACTTGGTGTTCCAAAGCCCGTTGCCCCACGTGGCAGCAAATCGAACTCACAGAAGTCTAAAACACTGCACAAGCTTTCATATCCATAGGGAAGCTCTGCAGTTGCCTTGTAAGTACATAGAGAAATTAATATCTGAAACATTCAGTGATATTCATGCTAATGAACCTTCCATATTAAGCATAAATGGCTTTCACATGTTGTTTAACAGGAACTGGCAGAGTATCAGCTGAAAAGACAGTATTGTGGAATCCTAGAACAATTGAAAACAAGTCAAGCTTTATTTTCTTGAGATACTTATTAAAACTAGAGAATGCATGTTTCACTAAGAATCGTAAGTATTTTCTGACCTAACTTCTACCTCAGTAAAAATTTCTGTGCTGTAACTTGCCCAGAACACTAGATTACTTCAGAGCTGCCATGTACAGCTGCACAGGCTGTGTATTGCACAACTCCAGGGAAAGCCACTTATGGAGACCAAATCTATAATTTTGCTGAAGGAAATCTCAATTTAATTGTATAAGAGCCAGAGGAGAATGTCAATCCCTTCCCAGAGCTGTGCAAGGCAGTGAGATGAGAACAGTAGCTCTCATATTGCCTGATCTTCAAAGCCAGATAACACAAATATGCTTCTCTGATAACTGGTCCAGTGGCTTCTCAACTGCTCTGTATTTTCCATCTTCACATTCAAACTGAGGAAACTGATCCATCAAAGATATTCAGTCTGTTTAATACACCATCTCCAGTTAAAATCCCCTGTACCTCAGGGGATACACTTTTAGGCATTCTAGTTTTTCTGGGTTAGTATCTATTCTTTCAAGAATATCTGTAAATCTTATTTTATTTTATTTCATTTTTACTAACTAGAAATGTGAGGATAGTATATATCTTCATTTAAAAACACCACACTAATTTTAGTTGCCATTCTGCACTGCAGTTGTGAAACTGTGCGCTTGACCCTGCTCACAGTTAGTATGTGCTGTGATCCAACTGCTTGGTGGTGGTCACCGGTCCAGACGGTATTCCAGAGAGATAAGAACTGCTGACAATGGTCATCAGTCTTTTCGTGGCGTTTCTTAAGGAGGGAGTTGAGTGCAAAAGCATTCTGCAGTATTGGGCTCTAAGCAAGTCAGGCACAGAAACAAGTAATATTGACAATGTGGTTGCAGACCTTTCAATACATGACTAAGGTGAGCACATTTGTTTAACTGAAGAAAGAGGCTCTTAACATTGACTGACATTTTGGGGGGTAATTGCCGTACATATGCTTGACTGTTATAAATAAGCACTTTACATGAATTAACACATTTAAACTCACAACAACCCTCAAAGTAGGTACTATTATTATTTTTATAATAAGCATGAAGAGGTTAAGTAACTGGCCTAAGGGAATATAGCATGTGAACTAGGACCTAGAATTTGAATCCAGAAAATACTATTAGCCACTATGCCATGCTGCCGTAAAAATACCTACTATATGATGCCTAGAATATATGACACAGTAAAGCTTAGCTAGTATCATATTACCATTTTTGGATACTTTTTATGACAGGCACTGAACTTACATTATCTCATGTAGTACTCACTATATAGCTCATTCTTTACAGGCACCAAAACTGAGATTCCGAGAGGCTCAGTGACTTTCCCAAGGCTACAGAGCTAATGAGTGGTAAAGACAGGATTCAAATCTGCCTGTCTGATTCTAAAAACTGGGTCCTATCCATGGTTGAATTAGTTTGCAGTCTCTTTACTTCTTAATGGCCAAGATCCTAATTTCTTTTGCATTATGAAAATGTAAGTCATAGGCAATGAAATGTGCAGAAATTTGGGAAATAAATATTTTTCTTTTAAACAAAAGTCTAATTTGAAAAATGTTGCCCATTAACCACAGTCCTGCTTGGCTCATTACCTACATAGAGTTTATTAGTTTTTGCATGGCCTGTCTCGAGGTATTTTCCCTCCTCAGTAGTATAGTGATACTTCTATAAAATACTTGTTTAATTTTTCTGAGCGTGTTTGGGATGGGTTACATATGGGGACTCTTTATGGTTTATAGGCAAAAGAAGACCCACCTGCAGACTCTGCAGGCACTGTCTGAAGTGCAGAAAATGACCCCGAGAGAAAGCACGTGGCTGCGGAGGCCGCAGGCAGCTGATGACAAGGCCAGGAAGCAGAAGTAAGCCGCCTGTCCTTAGGGCGCCATGCCCTGGGCCACCTCTTGGGGCTCTGATGGAATTTACTGAAGAAAAGCAAAAACCAAAACAAAAAATTAAATGCACATACTCATTACATATTTATCTGTTTATTGATTCACTTGTTTCCTCAAAAGACGGTCATTGAGCCATAGATGGTCATTGGAGCTAGGCACTGCTAATGTCAGGCTTTCGGTCTGGGGTGAAAAGAAAGCTTGAGCATCAGGGAGGTTATTATCAGCGGAAATACAGCCAGCCTCCAAATGAAGCCTTGCTGTTGCTGGCACCTTCTGTGCATACCCCAGTAAGGGGTGAAAGGTGGCTTTACTGTTCTCTCCTCATTCCACCCATGTTTGCTGTGTCCCTTCTGCCTGGAGATCTAGCTGATCTACAAGGAGAAGAATACACCAGCAGCAGAGTGCTGGCTTTGGAAAGCAGACTGGACACTGAGCTCTGTTCTGCCAGGTGAAGCCCTCTGGAGTCTGTGCTTGGGCACAGATGCTGATGGGAGAGATCACTAGTAATTACTGGTGTGGGAGGAGGATTCCAGAGTGCCCTAGACTCCCAATTCTCAAAGACTGATTTTCAGCTGGTATCTTATCCAATTTCCTAATCTTTCTTCTTCTTTCTTCTTATCCAATTTTCTAATCTTTCTTCTTCTTTCTTCTCCTGCCAACTTCTTGGTCGCTTGGAAGCCCCAATCAAGAATCAGAGAGACCTGAGACTCAAATCTGTCCATTTTGTGATGTGAAAAATGATGTAGAGGTGTTCTTGTACTTAAAAAGAATATCGTGATGAACAAAGTAAGAATCTGTGAGACTATTTTCCCATAACTCAGGCTTTCTTCAGTAAATATGGAAGATTTCCTTCAGAGTACGGCCCCGTCCGCTTCCTCCCGGCGCACTCACAGGCCTCCCTGGCCCCTCGTTCATCCTTAGAACTCCTGAAGGGCAGCAGAGTGCTGCTACATGTTTAACAACCACCGCTGGAATTGGGGAGGGCAGGGCAGTGGCTGCTGATTTATTTGATGATTTTTGTCGTGTAAATACTTCCACAATAGCCAATTTCAAGCTACCAATCTGATATCACAGAATGTTCAGTTGGAAGATATGTATAGTCTACACTTAGGAACAAGTACAGGTTGGTTTCTGCACAACACTGCACTACTGAGTATGGGTTTTACTGAGGAAATAATTTACATAAGTTGCTGGAGTCATTGCATCAACTCACCATCCCAAATCTATTTCTAACACCTCAGGAATGGGAATATTTTCAGAGTACCATGATTTATATCACTGGTTGAGGATAAAAAGAAAAGTAAATCTCTGACAAGAACAGATTTAAAAGGCAATTTAATAATTCACTTGCACATTACAAATTATTTTTCAGATTTAAACTTTTGTACATAAAGTCATAGATCTTCCACATGATAATTAATATTTTTCTTATTTAAAGGTAATGGATTTTAGGTAAAGTTTGGTCTTGATTTTGTGGACGAATTGCATTGGAATTGTTTTTGATCATTGTTTCTAAGATTTGAGAGCAGTCGTGTTTTAGCTAGGAAACGCCTCTATTGTCAGAAAGAATATAATGTACCAACCTTATAGACAAGAATATCTGACTACAGGGATGTTCAGTGACTTTTCAAAAAAGTCTGATTATAAATTTATACCCAAGTAATCGAGGTATTAGTATGTCCTTGGGGACACGTGCACACACAGCGCTTGGTGCTGTCTTCCGCTGCACTTTGGGAGCTCCAAGGATGGGCGAGGGAGCAAAGCAGCTCCTGTGTGCTTGGACGGAGCCCCGTGGGTGCTGCACTGTGTTTATCTTGCTGAGGGAAAGACCCTTTGGCCTGACTTCCCAGAACCCTACTTTGCCTGTTGAAACAGGGATCACGCCTACCTTTATAGTAAAGATGTGGTTTAAGAATATTGAAGCTATTTTTACACATTCATTTTAAATTTGCAGAAAGCTTGTGGAAGAAAAATATGAAGAAAATAACAAACGAATGCAGGAGCTGAGGTCTTGAAACTTTCAGCAGCTAACTGTTGGTGTACTCCATGCAAGTACTCTCTTATTTTAAATTTTATGTAAAAATCTTTTTTGCTTCAGATTCTTCATAGTCATGTGGCCCATTGGGTAGGAAATGGGAAAAGGTAGAAATTAAAGCATTCAAACCAACTTTGCCCATTTCCAAGAAGGATTCACTGAGGTTCATTTTAGAATGAAGGCCAATAGTCAGTGACTATACTAATTCAAAGCTGCTATACTTAGAGGCACATCCGTTGATTCATCCAGCAAATATTGAGTGCCTACTGTGTACAAGATAACTTAATCAGCACTGAGTATACAATGGATGACTTAAGATCATGACTTTGCAGAACAAATGTGTGTATATTTTTGGGGAAGAAAAATTTTCTTCATCCTTCAAGCTCGTCTGAGAATCCAATTGACATGAGACAAACTGATTAACAAAAGAAAAAAACCAAAGTTTAATTATGTGCACATAGAGCCCCAGTAATGAAACTGAGACCCAAGGAAATTCCAAGGCTGTTAGTTTTTATATATTTTAGATGGAGACAATCTGTGAGGAATTGACAGGACAAAGAAAACTTAGGTTTGGGAACTTCAGTTAGTAAGGAATTCTAAACAGCATGTGGGATGGGGTAGTAAATCAGTAAGAAAGTTAACAGGGTCTGTATGTAGGGTTGGTTCTCTGGCCCTGAATTTTCTGCCCCAGGTGCCTCCACCTCCAGTGCAGGGAGGGCACCTTTCCCATGGGAGTTTCATTTTGTGGTTTGGGCAGGTCTCTAAAGGTTAAAAGTATCTTCCTGGGTCCTGGATGCTTAAGTGTTTCTTCAGTGTTGTGTTTGGACAACAGACAACACCAGCCTCCTAGCTTTCTGGTAAAAAAAAGCTCGGGAACAGTCGTTTTTCTGGAGAACTGTATTGTCTCGAACTCTGGTGGTTTGTTCACTGGAGATCCCTGCATGTGCGGGGTTTCCTTCCATCGGCAGGCGGCCCCAAGGCCACTGAGGGCATGGGGGCGATCCCTGAAGTCTGTGGGCTCGTTCTGCTCTAGCATGGTGGTCAGAGAGTTCCAGACCCTGGAGTGTGTGGAAGCCCCCAGCAGAGCTCAGTCTCAGCCAGGCAGAGCATAGGAACTCTCATTTTGTCTGCCTCCCTCTGAGAGGTGATCCACCTTTGTCAGTCATTTAGTGGTTGCAAGTGCCTTAGAGTTCTGGAAACCTGAAGCTGAGCCAAATGGGGCCCAGCCTTCTCTAACCTTAAAGAGTCCCTCTCCTTCTGTTGTGTCCTTTAGCAAACAGTGTGAGGGTATGTGCTCAATCCCCCCTGCCCTCTCCATCTGTCTCCTACTCTGGTAATTGAGGCCAGCTGTGGGATCTGCTGCAATTCCCAGAGACGTGGGAGATGGGCTCCTTCCTGCTCATGGGACCCGGGGAACAGAGAGGTGCTGGCTGAAAGGGCGTGGGGTCAGCATTGGGCCCCTCCTTAGGGTCTTTATGCCTGCTCATGGAAGGACCCAAGCCCCTTCTGAGTACTGGGTGCCATTCTTCAGCTCCTCAGATGCCTTCCAGGTCCTGAAGGGGTAACTTGTGGAGGCGTCCATCTTCCCTACGTCTGTTGGCTTTCTTCCCCACAGGCCTGAGAGCTGCATATTGCCAAACCCTCGCAAGGAATCTGGCCTAATGATAAGAAATCTGGGTTAAACTACTTGTTTAATCACTGATAGAAACCAGGACTTTTTTTCTGGAATGCTTAGGGACTCCTGCTTCTAAGGAACTTCACCCCCACAGATTGGAAATTGAGAAGTACAGAGCATGATAATATTTTCTTTTATGAAACCTAAATAACTCTCTGTATTCTTGATGTTAACATATGGCAAATAAAAATGTAGTTTCAAGTATGACCTTACATTTTAGTGTCTGATAATTTAGCTTTTTGCTTTTCTTCACTGACCCTTTAAAACAAATCTTTTTGTGTTCTCTTTTAATTTCTGATATTATTATCAGTGTTAAACAACTGCACTATATGAGGTCCCATCCCTCTGATAAACCAGGGTCCTTGGGGGGCCCTGGAGTGATGCGCAAGGAGGCCTTGCAACAGGCAGACCCCTGGGAGAGTCTGTTGGCTGTGTTACTCCACGGAACACAGGAGCCCGAGAGTTCAGGTCTTGGCCCAGCTAAGAGAAGGCAGTGAGGATTTCACAACGATTTTATCAAGTCCCAACTCATCACTTCCACAGTGTCTGCCTAGTTCTTTCCAATTCCATCCCTTTCCATCAGCAAGGAGCCGAGGAATCAGGATGGGAAGTACTTGATGCTGTTTTGGCCAGAGATGTTGGTTCATTCTTAGAAGAAAAATCGCAAAGATGGGAGTAAGGAATGCTCCAGGCAGACACTTGGCCCTTGCAGGTAAGGTCCTTGTCTAGCTGGTTCAGTCCTGCAGCAGGACTGCTCAGCACCCCCACCCCACCCCCACCCCCAGGTTTCCTGCCCTGTTTCATGCCATTACATCAGCCCTTTCCCTCTTTTGTTAGCATCTACTTCTCTTTCAAATGTCACTTCCTCTTCAGGAAAACCTTCTTTGACCTCATGGTGCACAATGGACTGGCCCCTTTCCAAATTCTTAAGGCTTATAGCAATGCTTCTGTTGGGTGAGCATTGTGTATTTTCCTTGGTCCTTGTCCCCGCTGCAAAAAAGAATTGAAGGGCAGAGACATAGTAGTGAAGCAGAGTAAGTTTTATTTAAAGTTGCTTAAAGAGAGAAAACGTATGGCCACCTCAGCAAGGAGAGGTCCCCTGAAAGGTTGGAGAAAGTTTAAGATTAAAAGGCTACACACTTAGAAAGTGTGGGTGACCTCAGAGAGAGAGTGCCCCCTGAAAGGTTGAAAAGAGGGAGTTTAAAGTTAAAAGATTATGTACTTAGAAAGTGCAGATGACATCAGAGAGAGGAGTGCCCCAAAAGGCTGGGGTTCCCCCTTTTAAGGATTCCTTAGGAGTGTGACCAAGGGCTGGGGGTGCAGACTTGTTAAGTGGTCTTTGAATACTTAGAATTAACACAAGGAAGTTCCTGCTCTGATTTCTCCCTGGGATGCTGGCATCTTGGTCTGGGAGCAGATCACACAGGCTGCCTGCCCAGCCCCCAAGGTGGGCTGAGTTATTGTCTGTTTGCTAAAGAGTAAGTTAAGAATCTTACATTTTCAACTTCCTGGGTATTAAAATACAATCTTTAAGATGGAATCCTTTCTGCCTTTTACTATGTTGTTTACGGCCGGGCCTGCCTGATTAACCCAGTAGAGACATGGGGAATATTCAAACATTGCAGGGGCCAAGTTGCTCCTGGCTTTTTGAGCTTTAATTGATTAAGTTTGGTTCTTTTTAGTGGACTTTCTGGCCTTTTTCTCTTTCCACCTCGCTCATATCTACTTTCCTGCCTAACACTTCTCAAACTTCAAAATACATCCAGATCACCTGTTGGTCTTGTTAAAATGCAGGTTCTGATGTGGCTGGTTTGGGGGGAGGCCTGGGATGCTGCAGTTCTAACAAGCTCCCTGGTGCTACCAATGCTGCTGGTCCAGAGAATCTCACTCTGATTAATAACAGACAGATGCTAGGGCTCTTGAAAGCAGCAGTTTACCGTCATCTGAAGGGAGAACGGGAAGAGCCACTGATGAGCAGACCTCCTTACACCCTTTTTAGGAAGAAAAGCATTTAATTGGAATGGAAGAGAAGGAAGAGCCACCTGAGGGGAGGCTTCCTGGTTCAGGCCAGGAGGAGGATGAGGAGGGGAGGCCGGGCAGAGAAGAGGCAAGTCTGATCATGTCCGAGCTCGAAGGCCAGGCAGGCTTGGTGATATTTAGAGCCCAAAGGAGAGAGCAGCTGGGCAGCTGAATACTTCGCAGAGTTTGGAAGGGTTAAATGCCTCAAGGAGAGGCATCATTGAGCTGGGAAAGATGAAACCAAGTGCAAGAAAGGAATCAGATGAATCTGACACAGAGGCTAAAGAAAAACATGATAAAGGAGAGGAAGAGGGAGGTGCCCCTGTCCTTGTCCACATACAGCGGTCTGGGGTTTCATTTCTTCCTCATTTCACTGGGGCTCTGTTTACTACTCCTTTTTCCTTCTCTCTTGCCAGCCAAAGCAACCCACTTTTCATCTCAAAAGCTGTTGTGGCAGATTGAATCAGTTCCGGGGAAAGAGTGGGTTGGCTGTTTCACCTCTTCACTGTGTATAAATATGCAAACATGCCCAGCCGCAGTTAGGAGGGCAGCNTAAATCTTATTTTATTTTATTTCATTTTTACTAACTAGAAATGTGAGGATAGTATATATCTTCATTTAAAAACACCACACTAATTTTAGTTGCCATTCTGCACTGCAGTTGTGAAACTGTGCGCTTGACCCTGCTCACAGTTAGTATGTGCTGTGATCCAACTGCTTGGTGGTGGTCACCGGTCCAGACGGTATTCCAGAGAGATAAGAACTGCTGACAATGGTCATCAGTCTTTTCGTGGCGTTTCTTAAGGAGGGAGTTGAGTGCAAAAGCATTCTGCAGTATTGGGCTCTAAGCAAGTCAGGCACAGAAACAAGTAATATTGACAATGTGGTTGCAGACCTTTCAATACATGACTAAGGTGAGCACATTTGTTTAACTGAAGAAAGAGGCTCTTAACATTGACTGACATTTTGGGGGGTAATTGCCGTACATATGCTTGACTGTTATAAATAAGCACTTTACATGAATTAACACATTTAAACTCACAACAACCCTCAAAGTAGGTACTATTATTATTTTTATAATAAGCATGAAGAGGTTAAGTAACTGGCCTAAGGGAATATAGCATGTGAACTAGGACCTAGAATTTGAATCCAGAAAATACTATTAGCCACTATGCCATGCTGCCGTAAAAATACCTACTATATGATGCCTAGAATATATGACACAGTAAAGCTTAGCTAGTATCATATTACCATTTTTGGATACTTTTTATGACAGGCACTGAACTTACATTATCTCATGTAGTACTCACTATATAGCT